AAAAACCAATCCAGTGAACCAAATACTTCTGAGATTGTTTCATACAGGTAATAGTTTGAATCCTAAAGACTTAAACGTTTCTCATGAGTCACAACCAACAGATTCATATATTGGACAAAATCGACTGTATCAAATGATAATGAAGTTAATGAATCAAAGAGAGAGATGTCTCTCAAAATCACAACTGAAAACCAGCTGTTGGCGCAAAAGGAAAAGTCAGAAGATCAACAAAGTCTGTACGATTCATCCTCTGGGGGACATGAATGTCTGTACAGTTTAGTCTGGACCAAGTGGTTGTATTGAATAAACGTGGCTATTTTATTTCAGTTTGTATTTGAGGGCTGTTGATCGTTTGAATTTGGTAGTAGGGAATCATGCAGCAGAACGGACATTACATAGATCTAGAAGCTTCTTGACTCAAGCACACGGCAAAGGAAAGTCAAGTTTTCTGAATATTTTGTTATCGGAAATAGCAGACCTGACATGTTAACTAATGTTTAGAAAGTCACTCCTGGGTTTAAAAGCTGACTCATGACTCATTAAATTAAAGAATTTACAATATAACGATAATTATATCCAACAGTACATTGCATGCAGTGTGGTAGCTTTAACTGCATTCTGCCACAGCAAAATTCTTGGGCACCAGTTGCTGTGGTCTTATAAAACACAAAAGAAATGGTGCAGCTGTAACACAGTGGCTAAATCACCAGAGCATTTGGCGCCGAGCCACCCCTACACACTGTTAACACGTGAGAGCCAATAACTCAGAGCCTGAATATGTCCGCTGAGGGAAACCAGCAGACAGTATTTCTCCGTTTATTCTCCCAAATCTGAACCAGATGGTTTCTTTTACACAGTGAGGCAATTACAGCGAGAGGAGGCTGCTGCATGTGTGGTCCCGCTCAGACCAGGGGTTCACAACAGAGTTAGATCATCTGCATACAAAATTGCTTTTCGTCAAACCCTGTGCATTGATTTCACTTAATGAACAGCTAATAGAAGTGGCGATGTGCAGGTGGGACGCCTCTCTTCTCCGCCTCTGCATCCAACTCTCAGGTTCCTGTGTAATTGGGTCTCTGGAGGATTTACTTTCATCTTTTTAAGGTTAGACAGCTCAGCACTCTGAAATGGCACTGAGGTGCTGAAGTGTTGGCGGCAATTCGGAATTATTCTCTTTTCATCACATCTTCTGAAGCCATTCTTTGACTTTTATAGCAATCCGATAAAAAAAAATGTGTCTGGTCAAGATTCTCTGGGTCTATTGTGTCAGTTTATGCACACTCTTGCATATTTCAGGCATTGGTTGAAATTTCAAACCTGCTTGCTCTGACTGACATGCACTGGAGCAGTCATTTTGTCAACTGTGTGAATGAGTTGACTCGTCAAAAAGGCAGAAGCAGCTTTTGATCTTGTTTCATCAGAGTTCATGTTTGAATTTCATCTCAAACATATCATTAAGCACTTCAGAGATGAAAAACGGTTACTCATATATCCTCAAGAAATGTTCAGATGGTGCAGGATTAGTCACCTTCTCACTTGATCTGCACATGAATGTGATTTTGTTTTGTAAAGAAATTGAGCAAGTAAGAAACGGGGAGAAGGGCTTCTTTTTGTGTGGGCAGCAACTGCCATCAACAGATCTGGTCCTACACATGCGTGAGTCATGTGCCTTCTGTTTGAAAGGCCTGCAGCTTCTGCACAGCTGCCAGCAGAAACCTGTATCTGTGTGCAGGATTAAGAGACCATCACCTGCTCCTTTTAAAATGCATTATTATTTAACCTCAACTATAGTCATAATACTTATTTAAGAGCGGTTATTACAGTTCATCTGATTCCTTCTGGGGGGTTTTTTCTTGGAAGTTTCACCCTGTTTTTGTGGAGTTTTTCCTCTTTAAAGGGGACCTATTATGCAAAATGCACTTGTGTACGTCTTTTATACATGAAGAATAGGTGTCCCCGGTGTGTCAGGGACACAACCCTCTCTCTTTTCCTCCATACCCAAATTTCTAAAAACGGGGCTGCAACGGATCTAATACAGACTGATACAGATTTGAAATTGTTCTGACGTCAGAAACGGGGTCAGGTGGAGAGTGTATGGCCAACTCTCCACCTATCAGGGGAATGAGAGGTTGCGTGGCATGGTAACAGCATGGTAACAGCATGGTAACATGACGCTCGTGCCTCGCCCCCCTCCTTTGCAGGGGGGCGAGGCAGCTCATTTGCCACAGAATCAGCCCTTGTGAAAACAGGGCTGGAATAGAGCAAATAGAGCGAAATGAGGCATGGCTAAAATGCATGATCTGTTTGGTATTTTGAAAAAAAAACTTCACAGACATGTTTTATATAGGTATGCTCCCTACAATATATTCTTCAAATATAGCATGATAGGTCCACTTTAAAATAAAACTGGAGGGCGTAAAAATTGCTTGGTAAATAAAAAAACAGATTAAGTTCACTGAGGTCAACTTTGTCCAAGAATATACAGTATGTATATACTATATACTATATATGTATATACAGCATCACTTTGAAGTACCTTCCCCTACTGCATAGTGACCAGCAACATACTGTACAGTACAAGCACATTGAATGTTGAATACAGGCAAGAGTTTGAGAACAATATTGTTATTTGATATATATGATGTATATTTAAACCTATACAGCACGCCAATATTATTTTGTGTGTGTCTTTCGTAAAAATGTTCAGACGAAAAGGGTTTTCGCTGACTTTTTTGTGTTTTGTATATTTAGTTTTGAAGTTACAGTCAAAAAAATCTGGACAAAATCTTAATATCTGAATAAAACATGATACAACTCAAAAATAAATGTTGTTGCAGCAGATGCAGTCAAAGTAGGAAAACAATGCAGATAAAAAAACAAAATATGAACAATAAAGATTTGTAATACGGTGTAAAAACAAACAAACACATGTACACAATTCCAGGTAACAAGTAAAATAAATTGTTTTTCTGGTAAATCTGTCCAGAATTCTGAATTTTTAATGTTAAATTCTGAATAAACGACATTCAAAACTTTTGTTTATCCTGATTGTTGCACAGTTTATAATAAATATCTATGATACAGAGTAAAAAAATATTTTGAAATATTGAATTATTTTTATCTCTGATCTGACCCTATTATATTATCAAAAGCTAAGTCAAAGTCAGAGACAATCTCCTTACCCTAAAGCTGCTTTTTTGAAGTTTTTGTTTCTTTGATCCAGAATGAGCTGGAAACAATAGTCTGCTCACCAGCTCCCACAGATCAATACATGTTGGCTCACAGGGGATCGCGGTCATGTCCAATATTAAACAAAAGCTTTGTCGGCGGTGCAATCGGAAACAAAAGAGCAGCTAAGTACAGAAGGATTAGTTTGTGCACTTTTAATTCCGCTGCAGTATTGTGTGTGTGTGTGTGTGTGTGTGTGTGTGTGTGTGTGTGTGTGTGTGTGTGTGTGTGTGTGTGTGTGTGTGTGTGTGTGTGTGTGTGTGTGTGTTGTGTGTGTGTTGTGTGTGTGTGTGTGTGTGTGTGTGTGTGTGTGTGTGTGTGTGTGTGTGTGTGGTGTGTGTGTGTGTGTGTGTGTGTGTGTGTGTGTGTGTGTGTGTGTGTGTGTGTGTGTGTGTGTGTGTGTGTGTGTGTGTGTGTGTGTGTGTGTGTGTGTGTGTGTGTGTGTGTGTGTGTGTGTGTGTGTGTGTGTGTGTGTGTGTGTGTGGAGAGAATAATATGAACTTTACAGCTTCACAGTTAGTCATCTCTATTCATGTGTTTACTGATCAAACACTTCTGCAGTTTTGAATCACGTTTTTAAAAAAAACTGAATCACGCAGCACTGTGCATTATTGGAGCATGATGAATCACTCGATTACTAAAGTGAGTTTTTCCCCTTTTTGGCGTTTACCTGATGTACTGTACTGTATGTAGCATACAATACCATCGCAGCAACAACATCCATCATCAATTTGCTGCTCGCATGTGGGGGTTGCTATAGAAACAGCTAGACATGATGTGGACTACAAAGATCACAGTGTGAAATCATCTTTGTTTTGTCTGGAGGGAGAGCTTTGGAAAACTTTTGCATCATGGCCTATGAAATATATTGGAACCTGTGTATTAAAAGTTTTATAGCATGGGTTCTCTTCAGCTATGTAATATAGAATCATAATGGTAAACAACTCGTACAGAATGCAGATCCATTTGAAAAGGATATTTGTCTTTAACTCAAAAGGAGTTTACAGTCATGCTATTCTTTGAGCTACATGTTAATACCATGCTCAAAATGTCAAAAACAACATGTTGATGTACATTAGTTTAATTATTCACCATGTTCACTATCTTATTTATGCGTAAGCATTTGCTAATTATTACTAAATATTGGACAGAATTAAAGTCCCCCCCCCCCCCGCCTAAAACGCCTCAATTAGACTCTCACTTACTTCTGCGACAAAGTGACACTCACGCTTCTGTTGGCTAGCGCACAGATACATTGTACTGATACACTAAGGGGCAGGACAACTCTAAGTGGTTGACCAATCACAACAGAGCCGGCAAGCTAACCAATCAGAGCAGACTCTGCTCCAGTTTCAGACAGAGAACACAGAAAATAGCTTTTTGAAGATTAAAGCATGTAAACATCTGACAAAATACAAATATGAACCTGAAAATGAGCATAATAGGGCCCCTTTAAAGAACCTTATGGTGTTCGAAGTTCACCAAAGTTGTTCAGATTCATCCTCTGGCAAATATGACATCTGATTTTCAAATATTATGGCAAACAAACCATCTACTGTCATGGAAAAATAACTTGTAAGCAATTTATACCAATTATATTGTTATTATGCAATAACGTATGAGATCCAGATGCACAGTATTTTACATCCGGCATTTAATATATCGCAATCCAAACTGGTTTACTGTCCCACTTTGTGATTATTTAGAGCTTTCATGTTTAACCTGTGCTTCCTTATGAACCCAACAGTAACTCCTCTGTTTTCTCTCTACAGCTGATGTAAAGCAGTTGGAGGTCAAGGGTCCAACCTGCCGTTCTCCCACCTACATTTCAACCGAGAGCCATAAACAGGTACATAATGGTAGGATGCTTTCTGTTGCTACTCAGTCACACTGACCTCTCACTCCTTTGTCACACATTTCTAGAGGGGAAAACTTAAGTATTTTGGAAATAACTCAAAAAAACTGCAGAATATCCTACACACAGGATTTAAGTTTTCCAAAGAAAAAGTTAAACATATTCTATTATTAAATATTAATTTGTGCAGCCTTTTTGGAGGCATACCTTGCAATTATTTTACTGTTTCTAATGCTAAAGTGCTTATTTTTATTATTATTAATTGGGTCCAGTATACAAACGTGACTTTGTTCTGGTTAAGTTCAAACTGCTCTCTAGAGACAGAGTAATGATTGTGAATCCCAGAGGTCAGACTGATCAAATGAAGTATTTACACTGTCTGTGATGTTCAGGCGCTCCGTCGACTTCAATTAAACATATTACTGTTTATTTATGCAGTTTCACTTAAAGTGCAGTATTATTTACTATTTCAGTCTGGAACGTGATTTTATTTGAGGTTAATGTATCTCCTCACAGTGTGTCTGAGTGACAAACCACCTGGTGTAAAATGCAGCACACATGCACTCGTTCCTACATAATTATGCAAACACACATGAAAGCGTGTGTGTCTGTGGCAGATGGTGAGCTTCACTGTTCATTCCTCTTTACAGTTAAAAGATAGTTTCGCTGTGTTTATTTCCCTTCATCAGTAAAGCTCGTCAGATGTTTAAACCAAATATTGAACATATATTTTCTTCTGTCTCCACTGAGCGAGTGCAGACCTTTGCAAAGCCCAATGGTGCCTTCACATGCTGCTCATGGAAACAGCATGGACACTACAAGGAAGATGTGTTTGTATTTGACTGTTCATTGAGTTTAAAAAACACGTTGATATATGTTTCAGAGTTGTTGTTACAACTTGATAGAGCGTTCACGTGAATTTACCCCAGCCGGGAACTCATTTTGATTATTCTGACACCACATGAATGCAGCAAAAAGGCCCTATCAATCAAGGTCAAGATCCACAATGTCAAAAAAAGCCTTCTTCTGTTGCCTATGCTCCACACGTCCACCAAGTTTCCTGTCGTTTTCTGGAGAGGAACAGACAGATAAACAGACAGATAAACTAAGCTTTGCAAAGGTAATATACTAGTTTATGTTTTTTAATACAATAGAATCACAAAACATTTTAAAGGTGAAAGAAATCTGCAGAAACTGTTCGCTCGAAAAAGTACTCAAATATTTGACTTAATAAAAAAATCGTAATATCACTCCGTTATATACTCTGTTCCAAGTAAACTTAAGGATTACACTTAAGTAATAGTTCATGTAATAAGTATTGTTTACATGAACCTAAGCTGTTATTATTTTACCAGTGGAATGGGTTCATTTAGAAAAGCAATGTATTTTATTTATAGTGAGCCATCACTTACACAGAAGGCATAATAAAATTCAACTGCAGGTGAGAGTTGATGTTTTCTGCAATTATGTGGAAAGAAATATGTTCGTATGTTGGAACATAATTGGCTATAATAAGAAGGGTTTCTTACCATTTTAGAAATGGGCAAAAATGCAATATTGTGCATCCATAACTATTATATACAGCAGGGGTGCCCAACCTTTTTTGAACCGAGAGCTACTTTTAAAGTTGCCAGTCTGCCGAGATCTACCAGTCCAAATAGAGAGGCGTAGCCATTACTGACAGCCAGGTAAATACACACTTCTACTTGTATAAAACTGACCTTTGTACGATGAATACTTCATAAAATACTGCAGATCCTTTATCATACCTTTTTCTAATCTACACACGTACAAGTATTTAACTGAAGTTACACAACAGTGTTGTTGATACAGAGTTGGAGTTTATTCACACGTCACATACTACAGTGGGTAATGTTTTCAAGAAACATTGAACAGTGCTGCCACATATGACACAGGAAAAAAGAAAATACTCTGAACCCTTTATTTGCTATTATATACAAATAGTGTTGCTACAAAAGCATAAATGAGGCTTACTAATAAGACAACTCAGATCTGAAGCTACACAGGAATCTGCTGCCAAAGTGCAATAAAAAAGACAACATTAATAGAATCAAACCCTTTTTTTGTTGCATTTTAGTAGATTATAAAAAGAAATGCCTTTTTAAAATAGGATGCAAGCAACACTAGTTTCTTAACCTGAATTGATAATAGACTATAATCAATTTTTAAGTTTGCATTCTTATACCATTTTGTACAATAATTATAATGAATAAGTTCAAACAAACTAAAACGTACAGCTGATTAATAACGGTAATAACGGTTAATAACTTGAGTTTTTATTATATCAAAAACCTGTTGAAATGCTCCTGTTATTTTTACTGTCCCCCAAAAGTGCGTCACGCCGGCCAATCACAAAGCTTTGATGCGTTCAAGAGCATTATTCTGGCACGGAAGATTATGTTATAGGACATTAACGATAAAACAGAATATTGTTGTTCTATTTTTAGACACATCTCGCGATCGATTGGTTGGGCACCCCTGATATACATTATATCATGTTAATGTATTGTACGTTTAGTTAAAGGTCCCATCATATGCTTTTCTGGTTATTACCCGTCCGCTTGTGTGTTATGAAGGTTTTTCTGTATGTAAACGATCTGCAGAGTCACAAACCCTCAAATTACACCCTGTAGCGAGTAAAACTCTAACACAGAAAAGACCTGTCTGTGCTGCCCCAGAACGCCTCGTTGGAGATTTCTCTTTTTCCATTGTTTTCTTCCGGGGCAGGTTGACGTCACTAAGTCCAAATGGACCAATCCACACACACACACACACACACACACACACACACACACACACACACACACACACACACACACACCACACACACACACACACACACACACACACACACACACACACACACACACACACACACACACACACACACACACACACACACACACGCAGCCTGAGCTCCGCGGTGCTCCGGAAACGACACCAGTAATCCACCTCACACTGTCTGCTCCTCGAGCCTCGCAACGTCCCGCCAACATGGCACCCAGACCCCACGCAGCATTCTCATCTGTTTGTCATTACTGGTGTCATTTACTGGTTGCTAACAAACGCCATTGTAACACATAAACACACATCAGAGCACAGTGGGCTCATAGGGAGGGGGGGCGGGGCAGGAGCTCCAACAAGGCGTGTAGGACAGAGAGTGAATACATAATATACAGAGATGCTGTATGAGAAACCAATGTGATTTTGGAACATTAAATCTATTCTAGTAGACCTCAACAATGGAATTATGATCAGTAGAAATGGCCAAGACATGGGACCTTTAAGAAAAGCAGCTGTCAAATAAAAAATGGTAAAAGGTAAAAATAAAATGTTCCATTTCCCTTGTAATGGAGTAGATACAAAGTAGGATAAGATTTGAAATAATCAAGTACAGTGAAAGTACCTACAAATCTTACTTGGGATGAAGTATTTGAGTAAATGTACCAGCACTTCTCACTGCTGCCATTTTGACTTTTAAAAGTATTATTAAAGTGGCATTAGACCATCAGAGAGAAGAGGATGACGGCATCTTTCTGTTCCTCACGTCAACCTTAACCCTCTGGAGTCGGTGGACGGCTCAGAACTAACAGACTGGAAAAGCAGAACACAGTGTTCTTACTAAAAAATGACATGTTTGCCAATAGTGAGTCAAGTAGTACTTTAGGTATGTGTTAAATAATTAAACACATTTCAAACTCTTTTTTTAGGTTACAATGTGCAGTCAGCACACATCATTACATAATTTTCACCTCAATTCAACTTTGAGAAGAACATCACGTTCACTTAGCAAAACAAATTAAAATGCTTCTGAGTAAAAGAAGATTTAAAACTTTTTATGGTATATTTGTGAGGTGTACGCAATATTTTGGGTAACATCACAGCCTTATTGGTATGTTACAAATCTCTGCTGCAGATATAACACTACATGTGTGAGGTTCATGTTATTCTTATCGAAAATGCTTTATATTTATTATCAATAACCTTCTTATGAGAGAGGCCGCAGACCAATACTGGGTCTTGATTTCAAAAGGTCAGAAAATGGACTGCTCCTGGAGTGGAGTGCACCACCTGGGCGTAAGCTGGGCGTAAGCTGGGCGTAACTCTACGTCCGACGTAGAACCGAAGGTTAAGACCAAACTAAAGTTATGACTAGTGCACCACTTAGACTTAAGCCCTGTATGCGTTGCGCCCGGGGTGTAACTTTTATGCCTAGTATGGAGCAGGCGTAAATCGGAAAGACAGACTAGTATCCATAGTAACGTAAAACAGGCAAGAAGGATATTAACGATGGCAGGGCGTCTTGTTTACATGTTTAACAATGAAAGGGCATTAAGAAGAGTCTCAATTTCTCCTTCTCCAGCTCAATTTTTTCGTGTTCCGCTCTCAATTTGACGGTCTCCACCTCCACACGAACGATTTCTTTCTCCGTCAGTTCCCGCTGTAGCTCTGACAAATCCCTCTTTCTCTTTCGGGGTGTGGCCATTTGGGATTCCCCTTGAGTCATTGCTGACGCTGTGGGTGTGGGAATTCCCTCTTCTCTGCGGTCCTCTGAGTCTGTAAAATGGCGTTGCTTGGCAACAATTACTGTTTCGCGTGTATTCACGTGGACGTGCATCTTAAGACCAGGCGCAGCTACGCCCGAGACTAGTCAGGCTTGGTGCACTCGGTGTAAATTCGAATCACTACGTCGGACGTCGCTAAGCCCGACGTTAGAGTTAAGCCCTACTTTTTTACGCCCAGCTGGTGCACTCCACTCCTGGTGCTGAAATGGAACAGAAACTTAGCCAAGATCAATGCTGCATTGGCCCAAGTTTACCCTGATAAAAAGAAGACTCTAACATTCAGACTCGTCCTGAGATACTTTCTGCTTCAAGGATGAGCACACCTGAAAATAGTTGTCCTTGTACTAAACAATGTGCATCCTTTGACGTTTTATCTATCGCCATCATCAGCTTGTAATTTCAATTTGTCCGGTTATAT